TTTGAATTTATCTAATATTGGTTGCTTATAGAGGATTCCCCTTAAGTTTAAGTCTATAGATCTTTAACGAAGGTTAGGTCTTTTCCGGGGCTTTGTGTGGCGTTCGGCTTGGGTGGTGGCGACCACATGAATCTCTTTGTTTCTTCTTCTACTCCAATGAATTAATCCTCTCGGCGCGGATGTGGAATTGTTTTAACGCCGTTAATTTACAAGAGAAATGACATTGCGAAAAGAAGGATTGCTCTAAATGAGTTGAGGTGGGCATGTTTACAAATGCTTGTGCTCTTAGATTGTGAGTAATATGCTTTGGGCCTCCTTTGTTGGATCATCGAGCATGTAGTCCTCCGACCTTAATGTTACAGATCGATTCAAATAAGGCTCTTAAACATATATATATACTTTTATAGTTAATATAATAGTTATATAAATAAATTATATCTATATAATAAAAAAAAGAAAATGAAGGCCTTTCCTTTCTTGCGTATCTTGCGTTGTCATGGTGATTGAATATTAATAGAGCCCCTGCATGGCGATACAACGAAATCTATGATTACTCGATGTGGTATCATTTTAACTGGCAAGTGGAAGTGGTAACCGGCAACGCCCTCTAACGGTTTGCAACGTTGCCACTTCAGCCTGTGTCGTTCCTGCAGCTTACGCAGAGACTATATGCTCCTTTAATTATTGCTTTACTAGTTTAATTACATACTACCCTTTTTTATTTGGCTGATAGCATATTAACGAATGTAATGAGGAGAGGTAGTAATTTTATCCTACTATCAAATACCAGTTACGTTCCATTGCCATTGTTTTTTTATTTTGTGCTTGATGGTTCTTCAGGTATTGCAAAGGTCGACTTGAATGGTTTCCTCACTGGTTTCCACATCAACGGTATCAGAGCCCAATCGCCGACTGTCGGCTGAGAATGGCACGAAGAGTAGCGAAGAGGCGCTTCCTGTTCTGAGACGAAGATCGGGCAGGAAAGATTTGCGGACCGCTGGTTAATACATCCAGGACTCGTGACGGACGGGCACTGCCCATGCGGCATAAGAGATTCTTGCTCGTGATACGATTCGCATTAGGAAAAAATAGGAATATTTAGGGAGCTGAACGTAAGAAAGCGGTTTGGCATATTTTTTCTTCTCTCCTTCACAACATCCGTTAGGGGTTACGAGGGGTGCTAATACAATTCCTTGCCTTAGGGATTGATGTGGCTAGTAAAGTGAGAAAAATGCCCTTTCCTGGCACCGCGTTTTATTTAGGCATGGACTCTTTTTTTTTTTTTAGATCCCTTCTTTTAAGTTGGGATTCTTCTATTCTTTGGGATTAGTTGGTGCTAGTGGTGATGCCCTTCCGTGCAATATCCTAACTTTCTAATTCAATTTTCTTCCGGATTTCCTTTAGGTTAAAAAGATTCTCTTTTTCATAAGATTAGAACATGGCTTTGTGGACGCAGAAACACGTGCTTTCGTGGCGAACACGGCAAGCGAATACGACCACTCGAATGGCGAAGGTTTGGTACTTAAAACTTATTATCAATATCCGATATCGATATTCTTATTTCCATTAGGGTATTAGGGAAGTTGTTAAGAATTATGCTAGGGATCTTCGCTTAATAGCCTTCGGGAGAAATTAGTCAGGACATGAACAGGGTGATGGAGGAACGGATAGTTAGGCGAGCGTTGGCCAGGAGCTGACGAATTGCGGGATGATCTTGAGCACAAACGACTTCTGGATTACGACACGGAAATAGTCTAGTAAGTTTTTAATCATTTACGGGGATTTTTTAGATTCGTTGAATCCATATTTAGTTTAGCTTTTAGTGGTTTTTCCTTTCCTTAGGATTTACGATCATTAATGGAGTGGAAGGCTATTCCATATAGCCTCTTGAGTAGGAATTACCATGGGCGCATTGGATGGGGGAGGAGCCTGTCGAGAATCACGCCATTATTTAGTTTTCACATCGAGCTAATTTCCCTATTTTTTCGCACGATTTTAAGTTCTCAGGGTTCTTTCAAAAAAATAGTAAGGTACGGCCCTGTTTCCTTGATAGGAGATTAAGACGGTGTTAGTGCCAGCTTGAGCAGTGGCAGTATTAAAAATAACCAGCGGAGGAAGGGACGGGTAAGCGTTGGTATCAAATAAAATCGCGTCTCGTCTGATCCATTCGGACAAAGCTTGTCTAAAAAACCATACAGTCATTTATAATTTGAGCTTGATGTTACCCTTCTTTAAGTTAGGATTCTTCCTTTCCATATAGGATTAGATGTGCTTTTGTGTTGGATCTCCGATGCCAACAGGAATAGCAGATCCTCCACAGTATTAACGATGGCACCATTCTTGCTTATTACCAGTTTTTCTCTCTTTATCTTCTATTAAAGGGTCAGGATTTGATTGTCAGATTCTTCCACTTATGGCTCTTAGGATTTTGACCATTCTATTTTGGTTGATGGAATTACACCGGATCTTGCACTCATTGGGAATTTATGACGGATACACGAACATTTCTAGCTTAGTCAATTTTCTTTTATCCTATTCGCTTTAGATTATATACTGTTTATTTCCATATGATTTAATGTCTAGTGAGGATAAGGTACATAGACCACTATCGGCCAGAATTATACTTCGTCGGACCGGAAGACTCTAAGGGCAATCATCCACTACTATTTAATTCCAGTTATAGAATATTTACATTTAGGTCTAGGATTGTACAAGTTATCACTCCCCCGTTTGGATTTAAGTCCTTTCAATTTTTCTTCCTTTTAGTTAAACAGATAAAGGCGAAAGTCCTTTTTAGCACCATCCATTTTATAGGTTTTGTGTGGCCCACATTATCTCAAGGCCAACAAACACACCTAGCCACTTTCATTTTAGGTTTTGGAACATGTCTTCCATTTTCCTTAGGAATTCATTAAAAAAAAGTTATGTCATAGGTCCCCAATCCGGGGCGACGGATAAATGCGCCTTTATCAGGCACCTTTCTTTGGTTTAAGCCTGAAAACTACGGTCCGGTAGCATGATTTCTTTTCCTTCCTTCTAAGGGTTAAGCACTTCAAAAAAAATAATAAAAAAGCTTATAAAAGAAAGATTTCACCTCCCGAATCCGTACCTAATTTTTCTTTTTCAAAATCTCTGTCTAAATAACCCACCTTTTTTGTAGGGATTAGAAACACGAGCTAAAACATCAAACGGGCACGGTGGCATAATGCGAACGCGTATATCAAAAATGGTTCACTCATATGGATTTCTAAGGTTTAATCCAAATTTTTTTTTTCCTTAGGCATTAGACAACCTGATTTTTTCCTTTTCGCTAGGGATTATTGGCGCTAGTCTGAGGGAGGATAACTCTTCGTGGAACCATCTCTAGTTTTAATCCAATTATGTTTTCTTCCCCTGGAGGTTAGGATTCTTTTTTTTTTTCCTTAAAGCATCGGAACGTGCTAAAGTTGGTGGAGACAATCGCTTTGGTTGGCAATCAGCCTAAGTTTAATAACAATATTTTTTTTTCATTTAGGTTAGGATTCTTCCTTCTTTCTCGTAGGAGAATTGAAAAGTGCTAGTGCGTTTTGTATTACGTCCGTTGCAGCCCATTCTAGGAACTTATAAACTAGTTTCAAACCATTCAGTTTTCTCCCCTTCCCTCTTCCCTTCCCCCCTCCCGTTTCTTCCCTTTATTATTTAAAGACAGTTGCTAAGTAGTTTTTTAATCGCCCCCCTTGCGACCGTGGCTACGCACGTGGAATTGGGCCATGCCCCATTCACCCATTTCTCAATGAAGGCAAAGAGCTGATGACAAAATACTTGACAAGCTCCGATCATATGAATAACAATGGCCGCATTAGCAATATCGAGGAGCCAGAAGGGGTTGTAGAAGCCGAAGCCAGTCAAAAGGTTACCAGGCATCGAATCACCACCGAAGGCGGCGTATCCCATACAACCGCAAACAATGTAGAAGAAGGTGATCACCGCCACACTAAAAAATGTCGCCTTTTTCATCACTTTCGCTTCCGACAGTGGTAGCGCATTTATTGTAGCCTGAAACAGTAAAAGTCAAATTATTGCTGTTGAAATGAATAGAAAATCCGTTTTTTGCTTTGAGTAATATGAGTACTTGGATTTCGACGAGTATGATGGGATGGGAGTAAGCGAAGGCAATATCCTTTAAAGATCGAAGGATGCGCCAGATCTTTTGAGTCCGTGTAATAGAGCCAACGCTGATTCCCGTAAGACTGCCTTTGAATCTTCCGTTTCCTATTTAAAATGAAAGAAAAATATAAATTTCTTTTTGAGTATATAGTACTTTTCATCAATACAGCTTACAGAGATTGGAGAGTGGAGATTGATGAGCAACGATAAGTTGTTTACCAACAACTTGTATAATGCTGAGGATAAGGCCGATGAAAGAGTAGACGAAGGACATAACTGCAGCTACGATTGAGAGCCACCAAATTTGATCAAAATCAGGGATTTGAGAAAAGATGATCTGTATAATCCCGAAGATGATCATATAAGGATCGCTTGAGATATGGCATGGGCTTTGGCGCCCTTTTTCGTGGTAGCAGTTGGATCTCCGAATAGCCCTGCTCAAGAAACTGAATAAGTTAGTTTAAATGATAAATAAATAGATTTTCACAATTTGATAAGCAGCTGCTTACATCATGCTATTGGAGGAAGCAACAGTGCATCCAATAGCTATTCCAAATAAATTCAAATATTGGAATGGACCGTAGATTCTCGCTTTCCTTCCACCTGAGAAGAAAGAATTATGATGTAGGGTATCGGTGGAGGAAAAACCAGGAGGTAGCAAACGAATAGAACAGGAACTCAGAAGCAAATTGGCTCTGTAAAAGATGATATTGTATTGTCTACCTTTCCCGTCCTTCCAATACAGCTATATAAGAGTATAATGCATAAAACTATAAATGGGCGTAACTAACTAAAGTGAGAGCCGTATGACAGAGTAATAGAAAAGGAAATTCTAAGTAGTGGAGCATAACTAATAAAGAAGAAATGCAAATACTAGTGCTGTAGTAATACTATAAGGTAAAAGTATTCCTTATCTTATGATGCTCCGCATCAAATTATAAGGGGATTATTTGGTGGTAGGATTTAAACAATATTTAAGCACGGAACAAACCGAGATTGGAATGGATGGCGTCGCTGTAAGTGTAGTTGCGCTTTCCGGTGATGTCATCACCAGTGGTGCAGCAATTGACGAGGAGAAACGAGGTGTACAAGATGACCATTGATAAGAGAATCACTACAATGGGACCGCCGATCCAACCGAGCTGCGCGATATCCCAAACTAGCGATAGCACGCTGAAGCCGATTGCTGCAGTGATGATATGAGCGCTTGCAGTCCACATAGTCCCTGCAATAAAAATTGATTTATTGGTGAATACGTTTCTCTCTTCGGATAATGTGAAAGAGATGAAGCCTAAAGAGGAAAAAAAAAAAAATGCTTGCCGTTTTTATGTACCAGTTCTACGGATGCGGCCATCTTCGTTGTCCAGTCGATTGATTTCCTCCTGCCTCTGTGTCTGGTATGCCTCTGCCATGGAACCAATAAAAATGGAGTAGAGTGATACTGTCGATGACACAGTTTCAAGGCAGAGCGCTAGCTCCTATTCTCCAAGTGAAGATTTATAGGATCCGGATGTAACAGCAACAACCACTCCATCTGTATACTATATATAAGGTATCTCAACAATAAGTAAGGAACAAGATGATAGAAAAAGTTGTTGTGGTCATCAAATTTTTTTATTATAGCAATCACAATTCAATAGGTTTAGATTTCTTTTGAGGTAGTTTTCTTACAGAAAATAGTAAAGAACTTGTACCAAACTATTTCATGCCACCAAAATCTTTGAAAAGCAATAAAAAAATAGTAGCCAAATTAAGTTGTATGGAAAACTAAAAGAACATAATATAACTGTAATTGATCATTTGCACATTTTCAAAAATATTTATCATTAGAACCCTCACGTTGCAGCTCCATGTGATGGAAATAGTGATTTAAGAATATACTAGTAAAAATATCCGTGCATTAAATGCACGTGACTAAAAATATAAAAATAAAAATTCACATTATAAATATTTTAATTATATTATCATCATTAAGATGATTTTTTTTTTTATTATTATAAACCTTAATTTAAATCTGATCATTCATTGACACTCCTATCAACCACCATTACCATATTACCTACCATTGCAACTACCTTGCCAAGAACGACATTCACCACATTAATTAAATTATTCGATAATCAATAAAAATAAAATTAATAAATTTAAAATATTAAACATCTTTAATTAATCCACTTATTTTTAGCATTGATGAACTTTATTATTGTTGTTATAAGTGGCCTTTTATATTGTTTTTGTTTTATGGTTTTAATTTTATTTTATTTATATTTTCAGATGAAATTAAAGATGTTTAAGATTTTATTGTTGTTAGTTTATAACAACAATAATAAAGTTCATCAATGCAAAAAATAAGTGGATTAATTAAATTATTCGATAATCAATAAAAATAAAATTAAATAAAACTAATGGGTCTTGAATGACTATTAGTTCGTTGCATAACATCTGAAAGTGCTTGGTGGAGAGCCGTTATTACGTCCTCCGACTGGATGCAGAGGAGTATCCGGTCGTAGGCAAAAAAAAACTCGGTACCGTGGTGTACCGAGTTTTTTGAAAAACTCAGTACACCTCGGTACCGCGCTTTTTTTGTCTAGAACCGGATGCTTCTTGCATCCGGTCAACCGAACGAAATAAAAGTTCCTTGGTGGATAGGGATTTAGTTAGGATATCCGCAACTTGGTCAACCGTGCTTATTGGCCGGATGCAAACGTGATTGCGGTGAATATGATCTATTTCGATGTGTTTTGTTCGTGCGTGAAAGACCGAGGTTATTAGCTAAAGCCATAGCTGAAGTATTATCGCAAAATATGTTGGTCGGGGTATCTTGACTGATGCCGAATTCTTGAAGAAGTCTTCGAATCTAGATGATGTCCGCCGTCAGTGCTGCTAGAGCCCGATACTCAGATTCAGTCGAGGACCGAGCCACGGTTTGCTGTTTTTGGACTTTCCATGAGATGATAATATCGCCAAGAAATGAGCAGTATCCTGTTATTGATTTCCGAGAGATGGGATCTCCAGCCGAATCAGCGTCTGAAAAGGAAGTAAGAATTAAGTTAGTTTTTGTAATTGGGATGCCGAAATCAATCGTACCTCTAATATATCGTAGAAGACGTTTAAGCATGTAGAAGTGATGTGATTGCGGCTCGTGCATATGTTGTGATAGCTGGTTAACGCTGAATGCAATGTCGGGACGAGTTATGGTAAGATATTGTAATGAGCCTGTTAGACACCGGTAGAGGTTGATGTCATGGAGTTCGTTGTGAATGTCTTCCGGCAATTTGGTGCAAGTTGGATTAGCCAACGGTTTGCACTTGGATAGGTTGGCTTGTTAAACATCTTTAATTTCATATGAAAATATAAATAAAATAAAATTAAAACCATAAAACAAAAACAATATAAAAGGCCACTTATATATATAAGTCCATTTGCAGCCTAGCTAGAACTGATGCATTGGGAGGAGCCGGGACTAGACTCCAAGTACCTTACTTTTGGAGAGCTAGAAATTCAGTTGCCATTGCTTGACGCCATTTCATTTTCTTGACGGCGTCTGTATAAGTTTTAGGATCAAGTTTTTCCACTTCATTGGTTTGCTTGTGTATGAGTTTTAGTCTGTGTGGAGGTTTGAGGGATCCCGTCCGTCTTCTGGTAATCATGTGATGTGTTTTATCATTTGTGTTTGCAGTAGGCTGAGGGGGTTCCGAAACTGTTGTCTGTCTTTGTGATAAGAACTCGGGAGTTAATTCTTGTGGTACCTGAATTGATGAAGAAGGATCAGGTAAAACATTCTTTAGATTGTTGTTGTTAGATGGTCTGTTACAAGGTAAGATTGATGCAGGAGTGAGTAGGAATGTTGATGTTCCACTTGTGATCATTTCTGGAGGTGTGGATGCCTTTGCAAATGGGAATATCTGTTCATGAAAATTGACAAGCCGAGACATGATGACTTTGTTTGTGTGCATATTAAAACATCTGTAGCCCTTGTATGTATCAGAATACCCTATGAAGACGTGGGGAATGGCTTTGGGCAGGAGTTTGTGACGGGACTGAGCTGGTATAAGTGGTAAGCACTCACAGCCGAACACCTTCAGATGACTGTATTCTGGTTTTGTTTTGTGAAAAAGTTCATACGGAGATACATTGTGAGTCGTGTGGGATGGTAGCCTATTTATGAGATATGTAGAGGTTAGCACTGCGTCCGACTAGAAATTGTATGGGAGCGAGGCAGTATGAAGCACGGTACGTGTTGTCTCAATGATGTGGCGGTGCTTTCTCTCTACAAGTTCATTCTGATCCGGAGTGTATGGACAAGATATTTGGTGTTGTATGTCGTAGGATTTGAGAAAATTGTCAAATTCATGATTCACATACTCAGCTCCGCCGTTAGTCCATATAATTTTTATTTTGTGAGACATATAATTTCCAACTTGCATTTTGAAATCTTTAAAAGAAAGGAAAACATCAGATTTTCGTCATAGAGGAAAGATCCACGTGAACTTGGAAAAGTCATCCACAAATATGACATAAAATTTGTATCCTTTAAAAAAATCTATCGGGGCCGGACCCCATACATCAGAGTGAATTATAGCTAAAGGGGTATGTTGACGATGCTTCGAATTTTCAAACATTTCCTAGATGAAGAGAGGGATTTCTAGTAGAAAGTAAATAAAAAATTCTTGTATGCGGATGCCCAAGCCGTCGGTGCCAAGAAGTGGCCGTGAGTGCGGAAGCAGTTAATGCCTGATACTTTGGGGATGCTGTTGTGGGCATAGTGTAACGGCCACCGTTACATGGCCCTTGAAAGATTATTCTGTGAGTCTTCAAGTCCTTCAAGACAAAGCCGGTAGGGTAAAAAATGATAACAATGTTATTGTCTTTAGTTAATTGTGATATTGAAAGAAGGTTGTAACGAAGAGATGGTGAATGTAAATTGTGTGATAGATTGAGCTTACTTGATGGGGTTGGGAGGATTCCCGCCCCCATATTGGCGATGTTGATGGAGCTACTGTTGCCGATGGTTACACTGTCCGAGCCGTTATATTGCTGTGAGATCGAGAGGTTGTCCAGAGAGTTGGTTAAGTGCGTTGAGGCTCCTGAGTCCAAGACCCAATTCGTGTCTGAGTGATCTTGATTGGCCGCAAGAGCTGTGGTCGTTTGTATTGGTGCCGGTGTGTAATTGGCATTTAGAACACAAGACTCCAACTGTCAATGAGATCCCATCCACTCTTGTGCTTCCACGTCATTAGCCTTAGGTGAAATACCGAAGTGGGTTTATGTAAAACCTGTTGCTTCTAATAATATGAACTCACAACTTCAACTTTACCTTAAAAGAAGCAGCTTTGTTAGACGTTACAAGCATAAGTGCAAAGAAAAAAAAAGGAATGAATAGATTAAAAAAATATTACATAAAACTAAAGGAAACAGATGTTTTTGAGCACGGAGAAACCACGCACTTCTCTAGTTCATAGCATACAAATTCAAGTAAAACTATTAGTAATACGCACATATTTGATTCACCCACTTAAATTTCATTGTAGATGAAATTATTAAAAGTTAAAAAAAAAAAAACAAAAAGAACCCCCAATGTGATGTGGGCTCCGAAAATTAGGTCCCGGCCTCCGCTCGCTTTTTCTTTTTCTTCGACGAGGGAGTTTTAACTGAATAGTTCCGGGATAAATTTTGGAAGACAGATGAGTTTGTAAATAAGACACTACCTAGAGATTTCGCCCTCATTTTGTGAGGACTTTATGATCTGAGTTCTGATTTCCTATAGGCGCAAGCCCCTATAGTTAATTACCCCTCTCGATAACGAGAGAGAACTTTCGATTAAGGCTAGTCGTCAATCAGATACGTTGAAAATATGTGTTATCTGGCATATAGTAGCAGCACTGGGTTAGGAATTTTGGAAATTTTGACGGGTTTGGATGTTTGGAAAATTTGGAGATTGGAAAATTTGATATTTAAAATAAAAACTTCACCATCTTACACTTAAAGCGAATGGTGGGGGAATAGATGATAGACCAGATCAAGATCTCATGGTTCCGTCGCCCCGGGCCATCGTGGTCCCTGGTCTACTTAGTCAGAGGAGCTAGTCGACCCAACTTGACAGAAGAATCCTTGTCGGCAGCCATGGGTTGCTTCGTCCAAGGGGACCTTGTAGGCCTGTGATGGGTATTTTCCTAAGGGGACAAATTTAAATCCACCTTAGCTAACAGAGGGCTTTGTGCCCTATCGATCATATCCTATTGATTCATATCTCAAAGATTTGATGCCAATAAGGAACGTAACGGCAATGGCCATAATCGGTATTTTGTGGTGCCATTTGGCGGCAAAACCACTCGGTTCAAAGGGCCCTGAGTCATAACCATTTATCATGCGGTGCCATTTAGAGGCAAACCGTCGGTTAGAGGACACGTACCACGTCCTTACTGGCAGGAGATTGTTTGAGAATAGATCCTAGTAATATTTTTTGACTAGGCATTTGGCTCTTTGTGAGCTAAGATTAACTTTGATTTGTCCACCCACCAAACTGTTGCGGAGGGTAGGTGATTCTTGATTTAAGTG